TATATATACATACACACACTTTTCTCACAAGTAGAAATAATTTTCTACTTTGTAATTTTCACAAGCAAATAAACCTTGAACAGAGGAGGAAGGAATACAAAATATAATGAAGGAGTGAGGCTAGGGCTCTAGTTAAGAATTATTCTAAAACTTTTCTGTATCACCACATTGGATTTATGAAAGGCAAAATTTTCATTATCTCCTTATCTAAAACTCTTAAAGATTTTCCTTTTGCTACTCTTTCATTCACTTACCCTTTGTAATATATTTATTGAACACTTTCTATGTCATCAGCACTGTTCTAAGTGCTGATTAAAAAGGCAGTTAAAGATCTACTCTTTGGAGCTTAATTTATAGTAGAGGGAGACCAACAATAAATAAAACAAAGAGTAAATGATATTATATATTAGAAGATAATACTTGCTTGTAGAAAAATAAATCAGAAGGGGAGGAAGCAGAAAGCCAGGGGTTGGTGGTAGTGGTGGATTTTTAAATGATATAATCCGAGAAAGCCACATGGAGAAGATGACATTTGTGCAAAGATTTGAAGAACCTGTGAGTGAGATGGAGCTGTCTGTGAAGGAAGCATTCCAGGTGAGGAAAATGCAAGTGTAAATGTCCCCAAACAGGAATATGCCTGACATGTTCATAGGTTAGCAAGGAGACCAGCATGGCCGCAGTAGAGAAGCAAGGGAGATAGTGGTAAGAGATGAGACCAAGGAGATAACGGGGGGCCATATTTTGTTAGGCCTTTAGGTCAAAAAGCAACTCTGGTGGCATAGTAGATAAGGCATTTGGCTGCTAACCAGAAGGTCACTGGTTCAAACCTGCAGAAGGACAATGGGGCAATCTACTTCCATAAAGATTTACAGCCTCAAAAACCGAATGGGAGTCCCTATGAGTCAGAATCAACTCAGTGGCAGTGAGTTTGGTTTTTTGGTTTGTGGGTCAAAGCAGTAAGTTTGATTCTGATTCTAAGTAAGATTGAGAGCCAATTCATCATTAAGAGCAGAGGAGCTAAATGACTTGACTGATATTTTAACAAGATCTGGCTACTACTGTGTTGAGAATGGACTATAGAGGTATGCAAGGGTAGAAGCAAGGACACCTGTTTGGAGGCTGTTGTCCTAATCCAAGTAAGAGAAGGTTGTGGCTCATTTGGTAGCAGCAGTGATACGTAGTGGGATATTAGCCATGTATTTGCTGATGGATTGAATGGGGGGGGGTAGTGTTAGACAAATAGAGAAGTCTTACTTTTTAACTTTCCTTTATTTGTAAATGCATGTCATAGCTTTTATTTAATGCAATATAAATAAAACCATCTGTGCCAGCCCTAACATTTCTCTTCCACGTTTACTGGGGATTTTAGTTTACTCTGCAGGAAATCCAGCATGTTATAATTGAAATTACGGATGCTATTCAGAGTGGGAACGTATCTTAATAATCAGTTTATCAGTTTAGAACATAGATTGGTAAATTATGGCTTATGGGCTAAATCTGATTCTCTGCCTGTTTTTGTAAATAAAAGCTTATTGGAAAACAGTCAAACCCATTCATTTACATATTGTCTATGGCAGCTTTCCTGCTATAAAGGCAACAGAGGCCACAAACCCTAAAATACTTACTATCTTGATCCTTTACAGAAAATGTTTACTGACCTCTGGTTTAGATTGTTGTTTAAGAGTTGTGTCAAAATTTTCCCCTAATCTTTTTCCAACCATTCAGAGTTTAAATATGAAGAAAAAATTAAGAGGGAAAATGAAATGGCAATAGAGAAAATAAATAGGCACTATACAAATACTGAAAGGAGCTCTGGTGGTGTAGTGGTTAAGGCACTTGGCTGCTAACCAGAAGGTCAGTGGTTTAAACACACCAGCCGCTCCACAGTAGAAAGACAGGACAGTCTGCTTTGGTAAAGATTTACAGCCTTGGAAACCCAGTGGATATCGATATGAGTCAGAATCAATTAAATGACAGTGAATTTGGTTTTGTTTTATACAAATACTAGCATAAATTTCTTTCTCTCCCTTTGGTTACTCTACCTGTGGATATCTACTTCATTATGATCTCTGTTTTACTTTGTTTTGAGAAATAAGTGCAGCTGACTCAGCCTGGGGAAAAAAAAATGTATGCTTTTCTCAGCTGTAAAAATTTACTATAAGAATGAATCTTGGGACTTCGGTAAGATGGAAGAATAGGCAGACAAGCAACACAGACTCTCTTCAACAAAAAAATGAAAAACCAATTGACAGAGATGTAGAAGATAATCCTGGAGCCCTGAGCTTTGAAAGGAGGTATACAAAAGTGGATTAGGTACCAACTATATTAGAAAAACCTGAATGAAAACAGTGAGCACAGAGACAGTCAGAGCTGCAGACTGTCAACTACTCCAACAACCTGAATAGTTCCAAGTGGTGTTGGGACCTGAGAATTGACCAGAAAAGATCAGCCCTGGTCACCAACGGCTGCAGCGATGACTGCGCTCGTGGCCTATGACTAGGAAGGGAAACAGAAAGGTGGGAGACAACCTGAGCTGTTGACCTTCCGCTGTCTGGAAGGTGCAGCCATTTTGATCGTTTACATGCAGCAGCCATTTTTGAATATTTAAACTGACTGAGGGCACAGCCATTTTGAATGTTTACAGGTGGTGGCCATTTTGAATATTTAAATGACCAAGGATACAGCCATTTTGAATCTTTACAAGTGGCAACCATTTTGGATTTTAAAGTGATAGTATCCTCATTTGGATTCCAGGGACCTAGGAATAGGCTCTGTTTGCCAAGGGCAGGAAGGACATACGTGAGGCTGACAACAGGAAAGGAGACAGGTGGTGAGTGTATAAGTGCTGCCCACTAGCAAATAGAGGAGCACAGCACAGTACCCTGCTTGTGTAGATAACATAAAACAAAACAAACGAAAATCATAGAAAAGTCACTCCAACATATAATCACCAATTAAATATAAACACAAAAGTGTCACAATGCCTCGGAGACAACAGAGCATCGCAGTCCACACAAAGAAGCAAGATAAAACAGGAGAAACAAGGGACCAAGATATGGACCCAAAACACATCCCTGAGGACTATGCAGCATTGAAACTCCCTGATAAGGAATTCAAAAGAATTATATTTAGATATATTCAACAAATTGAGAGATCAAGGAAAACACTTAGAAAACCCTAGAACAATCTCAAAAGACAATACAAGAACAAAATGACAAAATACATGAAACATTAGAAATTATACAAAATCTTCATACAGAAATCCAGAAGATTAATACTAAATTTTCAGAAATAGATAAGACATTGAATGGGCAAAGGAGCAGAATTGGTTCAATGGAAGACAAGGTTAGGGAGATTGAAAGCAAATACCTGGACACTTCTTTGAAAAGGGATAAATCAGAAATAAGATCAAAACAGAATAAAGAAAGCCTAAGGTTCATGTGAGATACCATCAAAAGGAATAACCTGCATGTCATCGGAATTCCAGAACAGGAAGA